GGCTGCATTCTGCACTAGCTGAAGTCGCCGGATGCTCCTCAAGGGCAGCCCCATGTAGAGCACATTGCAGTATTCATTTGATGGATCATGTTCTAAGGCTATGTTTCTCAACCTAGACAACTTTAAGGTATGTGAATTTCAACTCCCAGAATAGTGGGAGTTAAACTCCACACAGCTGTAACGTTAACTCCAACAATTCTGGGAATTGAAATCCACATAGCTTAAAGTTGTCCAGATTGAGAAACACTATTCTTGTGCTTCTCTAATTTTAATGAGTTTGCAGAAGAAATCCTAGCAATTTTATAGGCTTTTTTCCATGGTGCATTAACAGAAATATTCTGATGCCATACAAAAGCATATATTTCTGTCGGTTATTTAATATCATGAGTGCAGATTTCTGCAGAGGTACAGTATCATGCCAAATTGTTCTACCAAAATGAGCATTAACAATCTTTTTCCTGAAATATCAATTTAAAACAACAACAACCATAATCGCACGGTTGAGATGAGCCCTGATTGAAGGGAGTACAAATTTCTGATGTAATTGTTTGCAAACATAATGTTGACTCTTAAGATGAAAAATGATTGTAAGACAACATTCCACTGCAATTATGTTGCTTCTCAGATTCTATAGGAATATTTTTCTTCAGAAGTTTTGGAAAGAGCACAGAAGAGTAATTTTCTTAAATTGTTGCAGCTGCAGATTTACAACATATAATATTGCTAGTCCTCAGGTTACAATAGTAATACAATTTCCATTGTATGAAATTTCAATTTCCATTGGAAATTCCATTAGATTTCCATTACTAAATGATACATTCATAAAGTTTGATGTCACAAGACTGTGTAGGGATGAAAACCCCAACAGTCCCAGTTGCCTTCATAAATAAAATCCCACTGGTTTTTAGGTGACATCCATCCTAATCTGAGCCATTTATAGTTGGTTCCTCCAAGAAGAAATGCTTATCTCATATTCAGAGTAGGAGGTTGGTTTTTAGAAGGTACATACACAGAATAAAATCTAACATCTAACAAGATGTACCATTCAGATCAATTCCAAAAATGGTTGCTAGTCTAGAATGTTTAGAGAGAGGGCTATTTGATTAAATTTAATTTTAATTAAACTTACATTTACTATAATTAAATCAAATTTTTTTTTGTTTCCATTTTAAAACACCATCTAGTATAATTTTCAAATACACTAAAGTAATCTTTCAGTCCAAAACACATATACACTTCGGCTTTAATATCAGTAGCACCATGGCTGAAACAACTCATTAGTTCTGTTTTAAATGCTCTGGAGCTCACAGAGAAGAAAACTGTGTCAAATCATAGACTCAATATGCATAGATCATAGCTCACATTTGAGTGTCTACGTATTATCTATCTGGGATTTGTTTGAGCATACAAATTAAGAGTTGCGGTGGCCCACTGTTTAGAATACAGTACTGCAGGCTATTTCTGCTGACTGCTGGGCTACTTGCAATTTGGCAGTTAGAATCTCACTAGGCTCAAGGTTGGCTCATCTTTCCACCCTTCCAAGTTTGGTAAAATGAGGACTCAGATTGTTGGGGGGAATATGCTGACTCTGTAATCTGTTTAGAGAGGGCTGTAAAAGCACTGTAAAGCGGTATATGAATCTAAGTGCTATTGCTATAGGTTAAGAACCAACTATTTTGGAAACTGTTCTCAACTGATTTCTTTCTGAGCATGTAAAACACAGGGCACAATATACCTAATGCCCAATGTTTTACATTCATTTTTTGCATCAGTCCTGATTTAGGTTGAATGAAAGAAAATTTGCCATTGAAATTTCTTTCAAAGAAGAAATTTTGTTTGTTTATTTATTTGTTAAATTTATTTGCCACCCATCTCGCTATGGGACAACTCTGGGTGGCTTAGAACAATAAAAATGAAAAAAAAAAGAAAAAAATATTAAAATAGCAATAGTAAATAATATCACGTAATTCATGTAATATCATGTAATCATATAATTAGCCTGAATGGAATTTGGAGCTATAGGACAGAATAGAAGAATTTCCTGTTTTCTGTTTGCAGCTGCTCTGGCTTCCCTGCTTCCTAAAAGAATTCCTTACATGAAATGTTTTGGACTAAGCCACATAAGCTTCAGAGTTTGGGAAAAATTGTATAATAGAAGATAACAGCTTTAGCTCTACCACCACTAATAACATTGTAAACTTGTAAAACACACCATGGGGAATTGAATGGTATTTCTCAGGAACTTGGAAATATGGCAAAAAATGAAATGTACAGGGGAAGAAAACTTGTGAGGAATGTGGAGGTTTTCTGCACATTGCTCTCAGCAGTAGAAGTAACATACTGAAAAGTACAGTAAATGGTGTCCCTTCCATGCTATTTGTCTACAATTCTTTCAGAAAATATTTTTCTTCCTTTTGGCTTCAATATTGAAAATACATTAAGATGAGGAAAAATAGCTGCAGCAATAAATGGACGGAAGCAAATAGACAAAAAGGCTAACCTATATATTCCTTTCAATAGCATGTTTTGAATAAAGAATTGGAAGTAACCGGATTCTATTTAAGGCTAAGTGAATGAGGTGGGGAAAAAAAGTAGAGTAGCCTCATTTTTCTAAATGTAAAGCTTACATCTGTATAACACCTGAATCCTTACACTATAAAGGTAGAATTGTTCTCTTTTATTTCAATGTTAAATGCTGCTATCAGCATTTAGAAATATTTTTTAACAGTCACCTTTTCTACTGTCTTCCAACTTCAGCTACAATGTTATATTTGCTGGAGGACCTGAGGAATTATTGAAGAAATTCCAGCAAGTTAATCACAAAGTTGTATTTGCAGCAGATGGCTTGATATGGCCTGATAAAAAATTGTCTGACAAATACCCGATTGTCCGCAGTGGAAAACGATTCCTTAATTCTGGAGGTAAGTAATATTTTTCGAAAGCAAGAATGGAAAAATGGAATTGGTGCAAATTTGTTTTCTTTGTTAATTATGCCGACAGATACCACTTTGCCTGCTTTCTTTCACAAGCACTAATGACTAACAAACCATGATGCACAGCCTATATGGCTCTGGATTTCTCTTCTCTATGGTCCCTCTTGTCACTCTGGCCTTCTTTCTGGACTGGGCCCATAACCCCTAGTCGAAATAGTGACTACAATTTTGAGATAACCCAGGAGTAAAGTACAGTACACAGAGCTTTTGTCTGTCAAACAGTGATTTATCTACAAGGCACATATATACATACATGTACTAGGCAAAATCAGGCAATCAATCAATTTTCAACTATAATATGGAAGCACACATGGAGAGGTACACAGAAAAGTACAATGGAGATAGAACATGAGGAAAGAGAGATATTCTCATGTGGCCTCCCTTATATAGACAGTTTCTTAAAGAGGCAGTAACCCTGCTGACTCATTCTCATTTCATCATCTTGGTTTACAGCATTACAGCAGCTGGTCAGTTATTAAATCATCATTACCTTAACAGAACATTTTGAAGACAAAATGTACATTATTAGTAAGAATAATTTCAGATAAGTTTATTTTATTTCTCATCTCCTTTCCTTATCAACAAGAGCTGAAGTAGTCAAAAAAGTAAGACAAAGGAAGAAAAGCAGGAGAAAGTTTGTGTGTTTTTAAAACTTGCCAACTTTAAGATGTGTAGATTTTAATTCCCTGATCCCTTAGAATTCCCTATGCTTGTTAAGAAATTCTGGGATCAAAATCCACATATCTTAGTGTTTCCAACTTTGAAGATCACTGCTATTGACAGAAACTGACACACTATTTATAAAACAACATAGAATTGTTTTCTTACACAACTAGCTCATTTGAAGAATGTTTCAGAAATTTCTTAGGATGTTTTTCAGGCAAAGAAAATTGCGTAGGCAAATTTGCACATTCCTAAAAATACTCTTAACTGCAAGGTACACTATAGTTTTCACAGATAGCCTGTTATTATGTGACACTAATAAAGATGATTAAATATAGAAACTACAATCTTTCTGTACTGGAATGATTCATGTTCTCCTTTGTCCTCTCCTCAGCTGAACTGAATCTCTAAATGTTTCTAACATAGCTTTGTTCTGTAACATTTCAAGAAATTAAAATGGTTGCTGGCTGCTTGGTCATCCATCATCTAATGACTCTAGCCAGAATTATCAATACATTTTTAATACATACATATATATTTTTGTCTTGTTACCTCATGCACACTTCCCCCTGCTACACCAGCTTTTCTGTGTGCTTTTCCTTGTAATGAAGGGATGCGGGGAGTCAGTAACTAAGAGGCTGAGCTTGTAGATCAGAAAGGCCAGCAGTCCTAGCACCACGTAACAGAGTGAGCTCCTGTTACTTTACCCAGCTTCTGCCAACCTAGCAGTTTGAAAGCAAGTAAAAATGCAAGTAGAAAAATAGGGACCACCTTTGGTGGAAAAGTAATAGTGTTCCGTGTGCCGTTGTCAATTAGTCATGCCGGTCACATGACCACGGAGATGTTTGGACAGCGTTGGCTCTTCGACTTTGAAATGGAGATGATTATCGCCCCCTAGAGTTGGGAATGACTAGCACATATGTGCGAAGGGAACCTTTACCATCCTTGTAATCTAGTGTTATAAATTTGCCTTTAAATTTGGTAGGATGTTCTAAATTCAGTGTTAATTGGGTAGATTAACCTTAAAATGGAAACTCAACGATTTATTATCTTATGTTATTTGAACAAAGATAGGATGTCTCTGTGGGTGTTTAAGCCATATATATTGTAAGGGAGGCATTATTTAAGTCGAGAGGTTACAGTCTTTTACTTTACTTTATTATTTTATTTTTTCCACCTGAGGTTTGTTACCATGCCATCCCTCCAACAGGCATTCATGAGACTTTGGTTCCAGCAAATGGAGTCAGGAATGATCAAACATGATTGACTGGAAGGAAGAAAAAGTTTATCTACTATATCCTAATTATTCATCTTTTTTAAAGAAATCTAATAATTTAATGACATGAAATATTTTATCAGCCTTCTATTATGTCAGGCAGAAGCACCTCATAAATAGAAAGTTGATGCATTTCTGCAATCCAAGATTGTAAATCTGAAATACTCATATATTTCCAAGATAAAGTAATGATCTTCTTTAATTCCTCAATGCTCAATAAATCCAAATGTATTTATATAAGTTCCAGGTTTGGGGTGTATAATTCAAAGGTATGCTCATATATTTAAACATATTGATCTTTGTATTGCTGTATTAAGACATATATTTTTTCTCCAGCTCAAATAAAGATCAACTGATGATAACATTAGAGCAGAAGTAGGCTGTCAATTGTTATACTGATTTTTGTTGGTATAAAGTTTTTCAAGAATAAATAATATAGGTGAATGAAGCTCACAGGATATTTGACACACTGATTTTATTTCATTCGCAATAAGAATGATAGAAAATGGAACTGCTGTGAGCTATTTTGGTGCCTGGTTTTAGGAAAACAAACCATAAATCAACAATAGAATTCAGTAGGAAAGATTTAATTTTTCCAATTGCATCTGTAGGTTATCTTCATTAATATTTGTTTATTTAAACAACATTGCTTATTTGAACGACTTGCTTGGTTTGTATTTGTTAATATGAAATCCTGAATCATCTTTGCAATTTTTTTGAAGACTTTCAAGAGAACTTGTACTGAATATAAAGATTTTAAATCAGGGATATCAAACTGGTGGCTTGCAGGCCAGATGTGCCATGTGCAGGCCAAGCCTCACCAGCTCCACAAAGGTGAAAATGTCACAATACATTACGTGATGACATCCATGTTTTAAATTATATAAATTATTTTGCTATTAAATAAGGCTGACATATAACTTTGAGTTACTACTAATGATTTACCAGAAAAATATCTGAGATATTGCTAACCAGGCTCGTATATACATCATGTTTTTCAATCTCTAGCCCTTCCAGTTAGATTTTATATGAGATTGCTGAATTCTTACACTGGCTAGATTTACAAGGTGTCTTGTGTATAGCATGGTATACTAAAGCTATGATTCGATGCATGCTTATATCTAAGAAAGTCCAGTGTCTCTTTTACTTTGTTTTGCTTTACTCATTTTTATTGCCCTAGGTATTCAAATGGTTTACAATAATCAACCCAGAAAATTAAAATATTAATTTAAGGTTTAAGAAAAAGATTGTTGCTGCTTAGTAAAATGCCAAAGTCCAAAGGAAATTTTGTAGTTACTATATTTCACTGCATGGGAATGATGTAGGTGAAGACCTTTTCCCTTGTGCTAGAGAATAAAGTCCACTTCAGAAGATCCTTTCTTACAGATCTTTTTAGAAATTATGTGTAGAATTTAATAGCAGATTTCATTTGCTATGTATTAATGGCTTCACACTGGTTTTGTGACTCACTTAAGCCAACTTAGAGGATGCAGTGGTGGGTTCTGGGTGGTACGGCCCAGTATGGCCGTATTGGTAGTAGGTGGGAACAGCGGCCACTGTACCAATGCAGTGGCTCATTTGGCCCACCCACTCACCCACATATCTTAATAGTTTTTGAAGCAACCGGGCCAATTGAGCATGCACACACAGCTTGCGGCCCTGCCGAACCTCCGCCGAGCAGCTGGGTGTTGCAGGGCAGTGGCGTGCGCAGCACGCGTGCTCGACAAGGACACCTGGCTCCATGCACAGCATACCAGTTGTGATGGGACCCAGAACCCACCACTGGTGTCTGGCCATCATCTCAACTCCATTTTCTATCACACAATAGCAGAACTAGAATACTACATAGAATAGTTTTCCTATTTAGGAGCAAGAAATAAGAGAAATGTATTTCAAGAAATAAATATCAAGAAATCTCCAGAAAAAAATTGGGTATAGCTTCTCCAAAAAGGTTTTTAGAATTTTCCTAAAATTTAGATGTCCTAGAAAATATCAAATTGTTTGTTATGGTTTATTTCAGGATTTATTGGTTATTTGCCGAATGTAAATGATATTGTACAACAATGGGACCTCCAAGATAGTGATGATGATCAGCTTTTTTATACAAAAATTTATATTGATCCACTGAAGAGGGTAAGTAGAACTTGATCAGTAATCAATACAATGATTGCAAGTTTCTGCAGATAATGTATTAAACCTACTATTTAGGAGAAGTTCACATAAACTTTACTTTTAAACAACAACAAACATAAAATCATTTCTGCAATGTTTTCCAGAAAAATAACTTTGTTCTAAGTCACATGATGTATATAAGTGAAGAATCTTAAAATAGAAGAGTCAGCAACCCTTTCTGATTTCTATCGCCTATCAGGGAAATTTTATAGGCGCCAAGAGCCTATAAGAGCCAAGGTGGCGCAGTGGTTAAATGCAGCACTGCAGGCTACTGCTAGATCAGCAGGTCAGCGGTTCAAATCTCACCGGCTC